CCATGAGGCGAATGACAGTCGCCGTGGTGCTGGCAGTGGAAGTGGTAGTGTTCGCAGCAGCCCCAACTCTGCGGGCAGATCCCGCGGGGAGAATGACAGTGAGGCTCTTGTGCTGCACTGGTTGAGGACGGTCGCCCCGTCTTCTCCGATTGCGGAGGATCCCAGTGAAACGTGGCAGGCCCGTGTGGCAGAAGTTCTTCGACGGGCGCATGCCGCAGTGTTTCTTCTGGAGAAGCAACGGGAGGAAGATGGCGGCCGGCTTACGAAATGCTACGAGAACATACAGCGGCTGCAGCAGGAACAAATTCGGCGGGATGGAAATCCGGCACAGAGGAGAAAAGGATTGAGGAAGAGCGGCAGCGGGGATGATGACGACAACAACGACGAGGCGTCAATGCTGGCAAACGTCGTTCTGCAGGAGAATCGTGCACTGAAGAAGCGTCTCAAAGTGCTACAGGAGTTGATGGAGAAGGAGCGGGTGGCGTATGAGTCTCTTCGCATCGCGTCGTCCGGATTGTTCCCCGGTGATGTCGCCCTTCCCGTGGGGCACACCACCGCCGTCGCTGTTGTAGGAAACGATGGGGAAGAAAAAGGAGGCGGTGGTGTTGGTGGTGGTGCAAAAGTGACGGTGGCAGCGTACCAACAGCTTAAGGCCCAATACGAGGAGCTGCGTTGCACGTTCAACACCCTTCAAAAGGAGCGACTTCGACACGGTGACGCGTAAGGGCTCTGGTGTTCCCCACGACTGCGTTTTTTCCATTCCCGCCGTGTTTTTTCATGCTGGGCCCTGAAATGATCATTTCTCCCTCCCAGACGCGCACACACATACACACACGGCTCTTTATGGGATATTGTGAGTTCAATTGGAGGGATCATCCCCTTCTACCTGCCTGTTGACATTTCACATGTATTTCTTTCTTCCTCCTCCCCACACGTCTCCTTTTTCTTTTTTTTCTTTTTTTGTCCTTACTTACTCTGTAGGGAGCGGGGAAGGGGAGGCGACGCGGGAAGAGGAAAGCAGGAATTTGGAGTAGGAGAAGGTCGATTGCCTTGGGGTAGGTGAAGCGACGAAAGAAGGGGAGAAGATGCACAGCGTCTCCCAGCGTGTCCTGGAGATTCTGACGATGTCAGTGTCGGTGGGTTTTGTAGGCTTGCTCATCGTTGTGGCCAGCAGCTTCTCACCGCTGGGCCCAAAAAATGTATCACCCATCATCTCAGTCTTCAACGTCTCCATGTCGCCGCTGATGCGGATGCCAATGCCGGTCATTTACGCGCAGGGCCAGAAACCACCGCCGCTGCGGGACTACGTGTTTTTTAAGTTTACGCTGAGGGCAGACTTCTCGCCGGTGTGGGACTGGAACACAAAGGCAGTGTACGTTGCCTGTGTCGCCCGCTATCGCACGGAGAATTACGTTTTGAACGAAGTGATACTCCTCGACACCGTGCTCAAAAGCAAGGCGGCGGCGGCGCAGTGGTCGCTCGAAAACGCACAGAAGTACACATTGGAGGATGCGCATCCTGGGGCACTTGCGGGGGTGCAAGTTCAACTGTCCATACGCTATCAATTGCTTCGGTACTGCGGGCACTCCCCGATGTTTGAAGTATCGCCCGTGGGAAAGGAGTACCCGGTGCTTGAACTCCCAAAGACGTATGGCTCTGTGAAGATGAAAGATTGGGCACTTTGACGGTAGCCGAATATATATAACTTGCCCTTTTTCTGCTTCTTCTGCTTCTTCTTAATTCCCCTGGAGAAGAGAGAAGAAAGTAGTGAGGGAAGGGACGGAGAAGGCTTTCTGTCTATTTACAGATACACCTACATATGTAAACGTGTCTTTTGGTCGATAATTATTATTTGTCTGTGAGCATGGTGGTGACGTTTGTTTATTTTTATTGTGCGTGAGTCTCTGCACAAGTGTGCGTGTTTGGGCGGCTTAGAGACAACAATCATCAAAATTTTCTCATAAGGACAACAAAACAAGAAGAAGAACAAAAAAAAAAAAAACGGTGGCGGTGGTCCCCGTGTGATTGCCATTGTGTTTACTCTTTGCAATCTTACTTTCATTTTATTCACTCCTTTCCCTCTCTTTCTTTCTATTTCTTTCTTTTTTTCTGGAATGTTATCGCATGTGTGCACGCATGGTTCACTTGCCTCCTTTGATTTTTCTTTTTCTTTTTCCCTGCTGCGTCTCTGCTGAACGACGGCAATAAATTAAAAGGAAAAAAGAGGGTTTGTCTGGATCCATCCAACCGTAAACGCACGCACCCACATTGCATACGCCCAGTGACGCGTCCAGGGCGTCGAGGGAAGTATGACGTCCAAGAAAAAGTTCAAATGCCCCTCCGTTAACCCGCAGCTCTACGAGAAGAGCATGAAGCCCTCCGTGACGATAGCCATGGGCTTCAAAACTAGTCACGGCGCCTCGTCCTGCTGGCAGGCCCAAGTGGAGGCGGAGGAGCGGATCCACAGCAACTGGTCGAAAAAGTACAATAAGGATGAAGAGAAGAGACGTGTTGAGGCCCTCGAACGCACACTGGAGCGCGAGGCGGACAGAATCGAGGTCTACCGCAAGGACAATGATGCCCTGCAGACCATCCTTTTCCGCAATGACGGTGTAAATCCACGTGGCGCCGCTGCCATGTACCTGAAGGCACGCAACGCACTGTCCCCGCAGGAAAAGTACAAGAAGCCGCAGACATCCGCACAGGACATCGGATGGTCAGTGCCATTGGCGATGAAAAGTGAGGGCCATTTTGCTGCCTCGCGCCTGTTAAATTCGGCCGCGCGTATGAATCAGTTGGCCACGGCTTACAGGAGACCTGACGACGCCGACCACGCGGAGCTTTTTGGCTACAGCTTTGAACGCCCCTACTGATCAAGGAAAAAGAAGGAAACAGGTAATATGTACGGTGATCCCTCCCCCCCCCCCCCCCCCCC